ATTAGCATTGTTCTTCCGACGTCTGATTTCTTTTTAATTATAGGAAATGCGTTTTTCTAAGGTACATAAACTTTTGGAATTGACTGTATAGCCAATACATCCTTAAGATAGTTGTCGACATTCATCACTTTCTTTTCTGTTAACTATATTTTGCTTTCGGAGAAAGCAGTAATTTTAATAAGATCCTAGTTATCCGTTTGTATAGTTTTACATAAAATAAAATTTTATATGAACATAGATAACGAAACATTCCAAATATACGCATTTAAGTCAGTACAAAATGCTACCTAAAGACAGAAAAATGCGAGTCGATTTTATTTTTGTGTAATTAGAATTGTACGAGAGATGCCTTACCCGTAGGTAAAAGGATGAAACTGTTAGTGAAATACTGAACAAAACCGAGCATAGATAATCCTTTGTAAATGTTTATTTTAATACTTTTTACGCGTCAGCCCCTATAAAGAGAATCGATGTATTGAAAAATTATTTTTAAATCAACATTTATAAATAAATGCCCAAATAATCCAATCTCACACTCAAAATATGATACTGATAACTAAATTATTATATCGTTCTTGCTGTGGGTATTGCATTGCTGTAAATTATTGATATTTAACTTTATTACGTTAACTGTATTCGTGCTATTGCCCTTAATTATACGTACAGTTTATTGTGTCATGATTTTAAATGTTTAATCGATATGATCGAAAAATTTGATTTCCGTCAAATAGTTTGAAAATGTCTATGTATAATAATGTATTACTCGATTTGCCTGTATACAAATACAAATGAGAAAACAAATGTTAATATAAAACAATGTATTTAATCAGTGCAAGCAGCACTAAAACGAGTAATAAACATAATAAAGTCTTTAAGAAATATGTATATACATTACGTCGACGCAAGTTAAAATATAGAAAATAAAAAAAGGGAACGGCTGTTTTCACCTTATAATAATGATGATCAAATACTCTTCAAGTTTAATGGCAAAAACTATTTCTCATTATGATGAGAATACAGATAGCGTGTCCTTTTTCTTATTTTGCATCTATCGAAGAGTGTAGATTGTATAGTAATCACATGTTATAATACTTGGCATCTAATTCCGATTTCCATTCATCAATATGAAAAATATCACATATCACGGACTGTCATTAAAATTTGGTCACGATCCTAACTTGATCCGCATACTTTCGTTTAATCATCTCAGCTTCTGCTTTGTCTCTCTTCCCTTGTTCACTATGGAAGATCCCGTAAAGGAAATAGATAGCGAAACCTGTACAAAGTGCAGAGAATAACAGTAAAGTACTGTACATACAGAAACATTCCACTCTTCTTCTCATTTAAATACCTATAAGCAACCAAATGGAAAATCTGATCCACGTAAAAGCGTCTAGTTGCAACATCAAATATAAATTTATGAAAATACTACAACAGGGGATAAGCGGCACTAATGGTACCTATAAATAAAAATACATAATTATAAGCATAGTAGAAATACCTTCTTCTTCATGTGCATTTCTTTTGTACCTTAAATGCTAGATCAACGTCTTGAGTAGGCTGCCTCACGATGACAACTAGGTTTAATAATAATATATTCAATAGTATAACTAATATCACAGTCTCTATTAGGCCATTGCCAAATGCTTTGTCACCCACGCAACTGATAAGAAGCGCAATACCGAACGTAACGATACCTGTAACAATATTATAAACAATATGAAAATAATATCCTGATCCTGCTACGAATCATAATGAATTACTTATCAGCTTACATAAGATTCCAATGCTGTATTTCGCGACCTTGCTCGATATCTCAGTGATCTCTTTCTGATTCTGCAAATTGACTATATGTTTCAAAACACTGATCGGTGTCAAATGGTAATCGCTCATCGGCGTCGCGCTTTGATTGTTTGATGTGCATTCTTTCCCTTGATACCTGAACGTTATTATACAATAAATATCTCGTATTCAACAAGTATGTATATATAAGCATTCGCAAGTTATTGTTACCTTAATATTAAAACGGACACCGCTACTATCGTGTACGCCAACAACGTTCCGATGGACATCATATCGATCAATTGTTTAAGATTGAAGATTAGAGTCATCACTCCTGTGAACAAACCGGACACCACCGTGCCCAAGATAGGCGTCATCGTTTTCGGGTGCACGTCCGCGAGCTTTTTGAATATCACCCCGTCGCTGCCCATCGCGTAAAGGATCCGCGGCAAAGGGAACATCGCGCCGAGCATGCTCGTGCATAAAGCGAACGCGGCGCCGATGTTCACGATCCATTTAATGGTAGGCCATCCGATCTGATCGAATACATGAGGAAACGGTGCGTTGGCGTCCTGGAAAGATTTTTTAATACCGAAATCGTTGAACAGAAGGAACGAAGAAAGGAAAATGCGGTCCGCACCTGAAGATAGTACGGCCACATCATAGTTAACACGGTCGAGATACTAAAATAAGCCATTAAGATTATAACTAAGGAAACAACGATGGCTATGGGTATATTGCGTTGAGGATTCTTAGCTTCTTCACCAGTAGTAGCAACGGCGTCAAATCCAACGAAACCAAAAAAACACTTCGCCGCGCCAATCATCACCCCGCTAATTCCGAACGGCATAAAACCACCCGCTCCTCCATGTTTATCCGCGGGTATAGCTTCCGCCGGTATGTTCCAATTTGCGGGATCAGCTAGAAGCTCGATCGTTTAGACTTGAAATAATTAAGAGCCGACGTATAAATAATAATAATTACCTTTCAAGGATCCTGCTACTACAATTATTAAAATGGTAACTAAGTTCACTACAGTGAATATATTGTTTAACATAGAGGATTCTTTCACTCCTACGCTTAGTAAGATTATGAGGAGCATTACTACACCAAACGCGAAGAAGTCTGGGTACTCGGATAAAAATGAGACGTTAATAGGCATCGCTGATTGTAACGTTTTACTTATCGCGTTTCCTATTAACGCGTCCAGGTAATTGCTAAGTCCACGGGCAACGCTTGCTGTACCTGATCCATAAACAAAAATACATTCGACATCTACCAGATAGAAGAATAATTGAATGCATAAAGTTAGTACTTGATTGCAAACAAGAAAAAACAACAAGAGACGATCTTTGATCGGCTTTAGAGAAAAGCAAAACAATTAGAGCCTTCGATGTTTGCGTACCTATCACGTACTCCAAAATTAAATTCCATCCTATAATAAAAGCAACGAATTCACCCACGGTCACGTAGCTATAAACGTATGCCGATCCTGCCTTTGGGACTCTAGATGCGAATTCCGCGTAACACATACCTACGAAATAAAACAGTAATCCTAAAATCTCGGCGCAACTTGTTTAACAAGAACAAATTGTTAATATCCGAGGATATAAGCGAATTTAATTTACCGGCAAATGCGGAAGCGATAGCGGCAATGAGGAAGGAGATACAGACGGCCGGGCCGGCTGTCTCTTTGGCGATGCTCCCGGCGAGGACGTAAACACCCAGACCGAGGGTCGAGCCCACGCCAAGTGCCGTGAGATCGAACAAGCCCAAAACCCGAGCCAACTCGCTTTTGCTCTCCTGGTTCTCGTCGATTCGCTTCCGGGATAACGCCTTCCATAGCCGGCTCACCATGATGACGACCTACTTTCGCTTCCGGTTCTTCGTCCTCTACCTAAAACAGATTTCACGGTTGCCGTATAATTTTTTCGTTCGGTTCCTTCGTAACAGAAACTGGAACAACCTCGTAAATGATTGACTCGACTTTCAAGCAGGCGCTTCTAAATATTTTGGTATATCTTCTTCAAGACATGCTCTTCAAGGTTGAACATTTAAACAAATAAATCATAATCCACAATGATAACAAAATAGATACAATATCGTGAAGTTACGGTAAAATGAAAATTAATTAAGACGATTACTGATAATGTTCAAAGAACATTTTGATAGACAAGAAATTAAATTGTCTTATTTTTTCATGAGCTTTACGCGCCCCAAATGAAACGCTTTTTTCCGTCAGATGATTGTACAAGATATGTTTCGCAATTAAAAATAACATCTTTCATTTACGATGACAACGAGAGATAAGAAAGAGGAACAGGCATTCTGTTTATATCTTTTGTAATGACGAGCGATTATCGTTCCTTTCGAATTGATCGACTGTTCTGTGAATTACTGACAAGAATCAATTAAATTACAACAGAACAGGTGCTAAATACAGAATCGTGTTTGTATTGTAATAATATTCCAGAACGTGTTATGAAAATCCGACAAGAATCGGTTTACTTCGTTATTTGTGTACGTGCACTAGAAACAAATTAGAAAGGCCAGCAGGATTTCTTGCGGTGTAACAAATAAATATATTCAATCTCGCTGTTTCAATTAGCATAAAAATTCGCAGACGTATATTAATTTAAACACACGATTACCTGGAATTTTATGCCGTCTACAATGTATATTAGTATTTCAATTTGCATGTTACATTCGTACAAGAATTCTTAACGCGTTACGATCATTTTTACGTCCGCGGGTCACCTTGATCTCTTTAAGCCTCGATCGTGATCGGCAATTTGAAAAGAAACAGGAGAACGCTCTCGCTGTTAGGATTCACTGAAGTGTACGCAAAACGAATGTTGAAATAAATGTATATATCACTTTAGGATTCCCCGAGTACAACTATAATTACAGACATTCCTAATACGTGTAGGACGTGCTAATACACAGTGATTTATTTCTGAATACCTATGCAATGATTTTCAATAAGATCAACACGGATTATCGGGACGTAAAGAGCGCAATGTGCAAATTGAAGTTTCCTCTTCGTCATCTCCTTATTATCGCGGAATCTCTTCATCGAAAGTTCAAACATTAGTAATAAGTGAAATCGTACTTTTCCTGCAATACGTCCTTCAGTCACCACTTCTACTTTAAACACTACAGTCGGAATTGAAATTTCATTTTTTTTTTATCATGTAAGCGTTTTATAAAACTTCATCGCCTTCTCTATGAAATGGATACAGCATTTTCGGATCCCTGTTTGACATTGGGGACTTGGGGAGCTATACGCAACGTGACAAGGTTACAGGCTAGTTAAGGCGAGGCACCGTGTGCCCCGTGTTCCCATTGCGTGGTCCCCCTCGAGCTACAGCATAATGTCTTTATTTACAGTTCGTACGCGGGCCAATTACCAATTTTACCTATCAGGCTACCGATATCAGACACTCGACGCAAAACCAAGCTCTGTCTTAATCGATGATTGAAGATCGGTGATAGCTTATCTACTCTCTTCGTTTCAATTATTTTAAGTGACGTCTTCGTAAGCCTGAGAGATACTACTTAAATTTCACTTAATTGGAGATAATTATCATAACGATCATCTAATTAGGATGAATTATGTTTGGAAGAAGTTAAACGATAAATATTTAAATGCAGACGTACGAATTTGTAGGATTCGTAAAAAGTGTTGTCATCGCGTCGAATTGAGATCTTTTATGTGTTTTTAAAAGAAAGCGATCAAGGTGAAGAAATTGGAACAGAGAGTGAACGAGGTCGGAATGAAACGAAGGATGATTATTAGCCAAGATTAATTCTCGTATCGATTCATGCTGATTTTTCGACCACAGGAGAAGCGAAATAGCGTTGATTTAAATATCATTGGAAAATAAAGTTATTCAGATTACACATTCGAAAAGCAAACTTTTTCGTACACGAACGTGATACTGTTCTGGATTTGACGACTGTCGTTAAAAAACAAATGATAAGAGTGTAAATTTAAATAACGATTTACGAGCGATTGCCAGACAGCGTGCTATCACAACAATTGGAAACAATTATTTTTTTCAAGGAATTACCCTAGGATACATCGCATACATCGTGTTTCAATTGATACGTAACAAATCCGTCTATGTTCACGGTTCTCCGATAATACAATAATTCAAATAGCAATTATTTTTTTCGTTCTTGTAAGCGGAACTCGTAATCGCAAATTCGTTTCCTTGAAGCGTGTGCAAGGATAAAAAACATTGTGCAAGGGACATTTAACAAGGCTAATTGTTTGCGAGAGTTTTTTTAGTCGGTATACAACATATATCCTTATTTAAACAAGATACGCGCGACCCGTTTATTGGTACCTAGATCGCATTAATGAGAGGGAAAGGAATTCTTCAAGTGTCCACGTGAGAGGATTAGAAAAAACAGCCTTGCAACACTGAATTTACGATACTTCAATCTTTCGAAAATAAATGAACAGATCGGTATCTTAATTTAAAAAACAGAAGTAAAATTGATATTTTCAATATCATATTCATTAATGATTGTTGTTATCTAATTTCTTTTGAATGCTATCAATTGTCTTGCCAAATTGATGGGTCAACAGATTAACTGATAAGTTGTAATAGAAAAATCCAATTAATTAATTAATTCCTGTTGACATTGCCAACGACGATTTGTTCTTTTTACAATTGCAATTTGCAATTTAAATGTGTCTGAAAGTATATGTAAGGCTGACAATTAGTGAGAACTTTGCACATTGATTAATCTTCACGTAGTTTTAAATATAATTGTATAAAGATGGACTAGCGATACTGTTGAAATATTTTGAATTCGTGAAAAAGATACGTTTCTATTGGTACTGAAATTTGCTTATCGCCAAACATAATGTTCACCACCAATGCAAATGTAAGAAAAAAAAACTGTCGTAAAAATAAGACCGCAACAATAGCTCGAAGCTAAATACCCATCATAAATGTATTCCTAAACGCGTTTAAGTCCTATAATGAATAATTTCTGTCACGAGTAAGCATTGCGAAAAGCCGGGAGCAATCTTCTACTTTTACCTTGACTGACAGCCTTTTCGTTTGCCGTTGCCTATATAGAATCTATGATGACACAACACAAGTTCGTATCTCATTTTTACTTATATATATGTACAGGATATTAATTATTAAAGAGCGCTGATAAACCCGTAAGTTAATTTTTAAATGCGCACGTTAGCAGAACGGCTGAAAAGTGCAATTGTAAAAAAAAACATGTAAATGAATACTAAACTATGTACATACCGCAATCATAAGAGATGCTGTAGTTAATTATACGAATCATATTACGATAATTATACGAGTAAAGCTACATATTTCTTTTCTACCCAGTTCGAAAATAGAACAACTTACAATTAGCACTTTAAAAAGATAAAACTTAACGCGCACGTACGTAACGCAAAACTATAATCGAACAAAAACTATTTTGAAATATGTTTGAGAACGTGTTTTAAAGCATGTCTTTGCCGGCCGCTAAAGCGTTTTTACGAAATTACGAAATAAATGCTTTTGTTATTCTTACCTGAGTTCTCGTGTTGGAAAGGAAAGGTGTGCGGAAAATTTCTCACATCAGAGGAAGTTCGTCCAGGCAGGATAGGCATGCGTAACTCAAACGGATGTAGGTTGAACACCGTGGAACCGGTCGCACCGGAGGACGATCACAAACTAATAATGTGCTCTAATGTCGCGATACTCGGTTCCACCTGTCCGCTATCTAATAAACCTCAATCACCTCCCACCATGATTTTAAAGCGGCGACGTTACCGTTCGAAATCCTCAGGTTCCAAGCCTGGGGGGAAAGGACCTGTGTGTACCGCTCAAATGTGTACAAACAGTTGCTACTCTTTTGTGTCCCTTTTGCCTGAACTTGCCACAATTCTATGATGGAATCTGTACATTGGGAAATAGGCACCGAGCGTTGACACGACCATTTTATTTAAAATATTTAATTTGTAATTAAGTTAGTTATTTCATTTACATATGAACACGTTCATTGTATTCGCGAAATTTTCATGAATATTCTATGTTACGTAAAATCATGTGTTTCACAGGCAACTAGTATTGTAAAGGAAACAATAAACGAACATTCAGTACTATCGTCATTGCCTTCTCTTCGCAAGAGGAAATATTTCATGTCGCAGGAGTTTTACGACGTAAAAGCTATTTTCATGAAAAACTGGCCCCATTACAATATATCGTTTAAGTAGCTACAATTACAGATTTTATTTTACGTACATCGATCACATTAAGTTCTATTGATGGATTTTTGATATGTTTCTGAATTTGTGGCACAGCCTGGGCACGTATGTAAGGATTCGTGAATAAATATTTCACAGTCTATACAAAACGTTTGATTACATTTGTTGCAAATGTACACCTGGAAATAAATTCCAAGCTATGTTTTTACGAATGATAGAGATTATTTTATATCTGTAATCATGAGACATACCTTTTTGTCTTTCTGGGATAAAGTTCTTTGGCAACCGTAACAAGACGATGGAATCCCGCTGTAGCCGACTTCGTTGAAAGGCTCAACGGGAAATAAATAGTGATAAGAACGAGCCAGATGCGGAGCAGATACAAGAGTTAATCCACAAGCTCTGCACTCCACGGGAAGCTCGCAATGTTTACTGAGACACTGAGGGCAAAGATAACCCGTGCCTAGAAGTTTAACAGATTCGTCCGAGTTTTCTGCATGACTGAAAACAAAATACAAGGTTCCTCACTTCTCTTCAGAGAATGCTTCAGTTTTAAAGTTACATACCACATGCAGACTGCCATTGTAGAATCATTTGCTGTGGAATGCAACGCGTGATGAGGGAAACCCATTTTCACTAGGGCAGCGTCTAGCCTGCTAGCAGCTGGAGGTGGATCTATGTGCATGTTTAATTGTTCCTTGAAGTGCTTATCGTCTAAAGCAACACCGTGCTCGCCACCAGTTGCTGTGGCCATTCTTTTACAAATATATAATTCGGCAGCCAATCCTATCACACTGCATCTGACGCAATCCGATCTTAAACTCTAAAACCATAACTGATTGAAATACCTTTGTATATTTATCATAGGAGATCGTGTATTTAACGATCAATATTTTAATGCATACTTGTATGGTTTCATTGATATCTCCAGGATCACACGTTGTAAGTGCTCCTACGACTACAAGTATTTCTCTGCTAGCATGGGATGGTAGAAGACGCAAGGATTTCATTGCTAACTCTATGGAATTTTGTAACGAAGGTTCGCCAGATGGTGAAATTTGATGCAAACTTTGTACTTCCTAAGAAGAAAGGATTTNATCTTGAACCAAAATTATATTCATTAATGAATTATAGTTAGGAACATCATTATGTTATTATCTATATTGGTGGGTACCTTCAAGGAACACAGAAACCTTGTTGGTTTCAAGTCTTGATGAGACATTGATTCAGATGCATCAAGAACAATGTATATGTGCCTCATCATTCCTAATCTGGCACCAACTTTTTTTTCCATCTGCCGTTTTCTTTTGGCATTGTGAATGATATCTGCAACGGATGCTTCCAACAAGCCATGATCGTCTTCCTTGATCGCTTCCCTTGAAAATAATTAATTTTATGCGAAATAACTGTTGATAGAAAACTTGAGAAATAATTTGAAATAAATAAATACCATGTCTTTTCGTAACCGGTCTCCCATCTGTACTCTTTCTCTTCCTCTTCATCAGCCATTTTCTAGTTCCTAAAAAATATACCAAATCATTTTATTCCAAAGTCGTAGTTGGAGCTTAATTACAAATAAATTTAAACTATTACTATGTTCTACGCAATTCTGTTCAACGCTACGCACTAAGGTTATTGTTGCTTACATTACTATTGACATAAAAAATGTGCGTTATGATAAAAAAACATTAACATGAAAGTTATTTAGAGGTCTGGAAGCATTGCTGAATTACAAAAATTTCGATTGCTGCGAAAAATCTAATAAATTTCCATAAAACTGTATGCACAGTGCTCGAAGAATACTCGGTTGATACTTGGTGAATGAAGGGAATTATTCATTCCAAATGCTTTGTTCAAGTACAAAGGAATTCGTATACTTGTACTAAGCATAAATCTACTAAGGACAATAAAATATTAATCAGAATAACAGAGTTAAGCGCAGATGAGTTATAAACGCGTGTGTAAATAACCAATGATTATTTACGAAATCGTCTTGACATCAATTAACATAAACTTGCCTTTTGTATACCTATTCGGCCCAGTCCCGGAACATAGACGAATTCGTCGAAGAAAAGCGGCATATTTGAAGCGAGAAAGAATCGTCAGCGACCTAAGCTGTCTTTTGAAGGCAGATTTCTGCTTTTCTTCGATGGTCCATTTCTAATATGTTATTTATATTGGGAGAGGGAGTACCTAGAAAAAAGCATCGCCGATAAGAGTAGATAAAGTGAAATTAGGATGGAACATGTTCCCGCCAAAAGGTAAGCTGTTGCCGTGGCGGGCAGGCACCAGGGCGCCACAGTCGTCGGACGCGATCACTGTTTTCATCCATCTCGTGCGGCAACAGCAATTTATCCTGATCGGGGAAAACTGATTTTTCCACGGTTTAACGGGCGTAAGTCGTAACCGCATTAGTTTTGATCTCGATCGGATTGAAATCGGTAACGGGCAAAGTGTGTTCGAAAAATATTCATGGGGATAGACAGGAAGTGAATAGTCGAGGAGAGTTTTCGCGTACGAGAGCCATCTTGACGAGCATCGGCTTGCTCGTGATAGACAGAGGACGAGTCTGTGGCGGCAGCAACGGCAATGGCATCATTTCTAAATGTTTTCGTTAATTTCATACGGCCGAGTTGTATTCAGCTAGAATAAGCGAGCCTTATCAGTTAACGACCTGCTACGGTGAGCCGGCTATTATTTGAAAATCGAGTTATCTGTGAGTTTTATTCGTTGGTAAAACTTACGCCACTGGCCGCGTTTACAATGACTCCATGCTGTGTGCCCCGACGTCTCGCCGTTTATGCGGGAATTCATTTAGTTTAAATAAAAGGTTCCGCGATATACGCGACTGGATCGAGCGAACGATTGCTGGTCGCTCGCCCAATTAATAATAGCCAAGGTGTATACGTGCAGTGAACCATTGTATCGCCACAACAACGACAGTAGTGTCTTGTTAAAAAATGTTCGCAGTTCGATTTCCACCGGCATGTTGCGTGTAAATTTTTCTGACGCCCGCGAAACTTTGAATTCGGAATGTTATGCTCTTTTCTTCTTTTTACTGCCCTATACCGTGAAATTGTTTAATCAAACAAATTTCATTCTTTACATTCAGTTTAATCAAACAAATTTCATCCTTTACATTCAGTTTACCTGGTGAACCATTGAAATATGTATCTGCGCCATACAAACAATGCCGCATAACTTATTTATTATCGCACAAGGTTGAACGTTGCACATTGTTGCATTCGATATTTAGTTTTTTTCGTTTGAATTTTGTAACTAAGCATCGTATGCTAAAAAATGAATGAAAATTGTATTTTTTTAGAAAGAAACATTTTGTCTGGATAGAGATTTAAGAAGTTTATTTAACAACATGGAGGGAGGTGATGGCCCTTCAGCCATCAACAATAATCCTACTGCTATCAAAGGTAATTTTTCCAATTGTTAAGATTGAAACCTGTATATACATATTTTTTGGACAGTTTCATGGTAACTTGTATTGACAATCAGTAGTCAGTGGTACAGAGAGAACAAGAGACCTGACAGACTGGCTATTTTCGATCTGATATTTTGCTAACAATTTGCTTGGCTTTCTAATTTAGTATAACTTTCTTTATGTCCCTAGCCGCACAAGAAGAGATGGGAAGGCTAGACGTTCTTGTATGCGGACAGTGCCATTCAGTTTTTCATTTTATCGAACAGTTTCAAGAGCATCGTACAAAAGACGGTGCTTGTACTCAAGTTTCACATTTTCGTGACAATAGTACTGTTAGTAACATTCTTTAAGTATCATTAAGAAAAAGTTTTGCAAGCAGGAGGTGATAAGTTCTTTAACTCTTTGTAGAATGAACAAAAAGCACAAGTGTGGGCTTTCCTTTTATGGAAAGACTCACAAAAGGATCATCAGGACGGATCAGGCGATCGGGATTCAACGAATTCATGGAAGCTGTATCAAAAGTGGTGCAAAATGGATACGCACATTCGGGATTCCTGGATCGCGGCTGGGAAAACGATTCAAACGTTTACGAAAATCAGTAATGCGAAGATGCAGGAAGTACCGAGGCAGAATCAAATAGGCACAGAAGGTAGATTTCGTTTGAGCGTTAACCAATTGTTTAACCGAATGATATATTAACGAATTGTTCTGTATTTCTATAGGGAAGCCGATAGTTGTTCGTAAGGTAATAAGAAACGGTCAACCGGAAGACGATAGTAAAAAGGACAATAAAACTTTGGAAGCGAAGAATCAAAAGAACGAATCTGTAGATGAAGTAGAAAAGAAGGAGAAGCCAAAGTTAAAACCGTCAATAAAACCTAAGGTTAGCTCGTATATATTTTAATGAAACTTCTCGCATCGCGTCGAAACTACCCATTTATTCGATGCCATAGGGTAAATCAACCAAACCTGACGACGATAGGAATTCAAGCGACGAAGAATACACCGTAGAAAAGATATTAGCAAAACGATTTAATCCGAAGAAAAGATGTTCAGAATACCTACTAAAATGGGAAGGTTATGGGCAGTAAGTTCTAAGCGAAAGATTGATAAGTTATATAACGAAGTGTATCACTAAATGTAAATCTATAAATCATTATAGCGATCAAAACACGTGGGAACCCGCTGAACATGTCGCGACTTGCAAAAATTTGTTGGACGAATTCGAAAGGAACCTCGCTAAACAGAAAGAATTGAAAGCAGCTCAGCAGCAAGCTAATGCGAAAGCAATGGGACGTGGTCAGATTCAAAAAACGATTATAAAAACAGAGGCCAAGCCCGGACCAAGTACTGCGGCTCAAGTAGGGTAAGAGATTCATTTTTTTCATTTTATAAAACATTTATAAGAATAATATTTTAATCGAGAAACTATATATGCAGACGACCTATGCGCTCAAGTAAATCCAAAGCAATGGATCAAGTGAAGCAGTGGTGCGGCTCTATGAAAGATGAGGACAATGATCGTACGTACTACCTTTTATTTTCTACTACGAAGAATGGCAGCTAAGGATATCAAGATTCGAATGTCTTTACAGTACTAGGAAAGAGACGAATGGATTATTCCGAAAGCGATTCCGAGGAGGGTAGCAGCGCTGCCAAACGAACGAAATGTGACACAGGTAGTGACGAAGACTGGACTGGAGAGTCCGAGGAGGAGAGATTGTTGGGTCGAAGTGACGTGATACAACGCGCGTTTAATCGCGCGAACGCCCAATCGAACGGTTCGAATAAAGCGAGCGGTTCGTCTACAGATCTTGCGACTTCTCTGGGGCTTCAATCTCCCGAGGGAGCCAAATCTAACCAACCTCCGGTATTAGTCGCGAACGCCAAAGGGGTCGTAAAAGTAGACCCGAAGCAAGTGCCGAACTTAACGTCTGGCGTGTATGTAATGTCACGGAAAGATGGTATCATCAAGCTGGATTCTTCCCCTAGCGGAAAACTGGCCGTAAAAGGTTCGCCGACCCAGGGTGTTTTGATGGTTCAAAATCGAGATAATACTAACATAGTGAGGAAGCAAGTAATATCTGCATCGCAGTCGAATTCAGTAACGCCGGTTAAAGTGGTATCTAAAATGGATGGGGGTCAAGTAGTAACCCAGATGAAAGTAGTTTCTAAGCCGATTACGAGTAAAACAGGAGGTACACAGAAAACAGAGCCTATAAAGATCCAGCCGAAACCAGATCCGACACAGTTACCGCAGATACATGTCGTGACCGCGGTGCCGGCTCCCATAACTTTGCAACCAAGAATAAGTACAGGAATACGTCCTGGACCTGTTACAGGCCAACGCAGCGCGGACGGTCGTCCATTGTTACCGAGACCCCCGCTGCGTGCGACCACACCAACTAGCGTACTCGGAATCGGATCGACGATTCGCACGCCTGTCAGGGCGCCGGCTCCGCGACAAGTTCAGACCCAGCAAACGCGTCAGGTGCTACAAAAACGTACGACGCCCGTGACCACCACGCAAACGAACTCGGTGAGTCCCGGAAATGTGACACAGATCAGACCCAAGTTCACGGTGGTTAGTCCGCAACAGCAGAAGCAAGTGGTTAAGCCTGGAAATAGTCCAGTGCAACAACAGGTGAAACAATCGCCGAAGACACCAGTCGGTAAGCCACAGTCATTATTATCTCCGCAGCAAAAGTTATTAATGGCAAAAAGGAAAGCTCAAGAAGCAGCAGGTATCATTAAACCAGGTGGCCGTGGCCTCCTAGCAGCCGCCCGAGGCGCTGTTGGACGAGGCAGAGGTAAACTGACCGAGACGACAGCGGTAGCAGCCGCTGGGTCAGCTAACAAACCGAAAGAGAGTAAACTGGCTGAGGGCGACGGTCTTCATATGGAGTTCCACGAGGTAGGCTCCGAAGAGAGTAGCAGCGATGGCGAGCCAGAGCTTCCGCCTCCCGAGACCGATACAATCGCGACCACGGAGCCCGACAGTCCGCCCAGGCCGTTCACTTTGTGCCCGTTGACTGGTCGTATTATCGGACCAGATGGCGAACCCGTTGAGCAACCAGCTGAACCGGAACCAGAGCCTGAATCCGAACAGACCACGACCCCGTTGTCCACCGTTAAAACCACCACCGCTACAGCCGAGAGTATAGACGTGAATGCCACGACCACTACTACGGAATTGGTTCTACCTTCCCTCGACTCTCTCACGGATGGCAGTGGAATAATGAGAGTCGAGATGAGCCCTGGTGGCACCACGGGCACGATCGTTCAGACGAGTGAACCCGCGCAGATAAACTTAACAAACGTTCCAGCCCCGGATCTTCCTTGCTTGGACGATACAGCTCCCGCTGTAGTGACACCGACCACGACCGCGGCACCTGCTTTAACGGAACCGACTACCAGCAGCGAATCTTCCATAGCCGCGGCATTGACAACAGCTACTGTCACTTCGACCAGCACGATGGCAATCGCGTCTACCGATATAGTTAAAACCGAGGATAAGATCTCGGAGGAGAGGAAAGTGGCTGCCGAAGACACGTCGAATCTGGTGACGATAACGGGCGAGGATGGTGTAGTTTACCAAGTGGCTGGACAAGCTGAGGATGGTCAGACGTTACTGGTGACGCGGGACGCCGATGGCGAACAACAATGTGTGTATGTCACCACGGAACAGCAAGGAGACGAAGGATCCGTATTGACGTTGGATCACGCCGTGGCGGAAGCCGTAGCTCAACTGATACCCGATCAAGTAAACCTGGCCTCGCAATTTTACGTAAAGGAGGGAGGAACGGAACCTACAGAAAATCCGATGGTCATGTCCATCATGGACAACACGAACTCTGCGGACGTAACGGAGGGACAAGAAGACGCCGACGGGCACGGCCAAGTCGTAGCTCAAGTCGTACAAGCGGAAGATCCCACACCAGGTAACGTATCCATATACGAGTACGAGAAATCGATTAACTCTGGAGCAAACTAAATATTTGATCATGTCCTCGCGTTAGGTGGCACTAGAAGAGTGGTTCTACTTCTACCAGACGGTAACCTGATGATGACTGAGGTAACGGAGGAACAGTACGCCGCGCTGGGACTCGGCAAGTGAAAGGACTCATAAATGTTTGATATCGTATGAAAGAAATATCTGACGATTATGCATCGAACCATAAACAATTAACAAATGGAAGTTGTACGCTTAAGGGGTGACCGTGGGTTGTATATATGTAAGAACGTTCACTTCGTACAATTGCAAATGAATACAAATATTTCATTGTTTTTCCAACTAAACCAGAACACATCGTGAACTGAACTAAACACGCAGACACACACTTACATACACACACGTGACACACTTACGTAGCAGGTGTACTATAAAATGAAGAAAAATAAACAAAAAAAGAAATCATGCAGGTTGCAAAATACAGACATCTAGCAGTTAGATTAACGGATAAACAACTATGTTTTAGAAATTCATGTTTCAGTGTAAAATCCGTCAGAATTTTAATTTTTACTTGTTTTAATTTATAAAAGGTTGGAGAGAACAAGTGAATGCTTAACGTAACAGACATCCGCGTAAACGAAAATGCTAATGCTAAATCATTATACGTTTTCAGCTAAGCATTGTATTTGTAGGATAGTAAAGTATAATCTGGGGTTTTATATTTTCCACACAGTAACTGTCTTTTAAACAAGATCTTTATCCTCCCGCATACAAAGTCCAAGCTTATATTTCCAGTCATGAGAGAAGTATAGCGATGAATCAATTATTAAAAAAATACAAAAGTCAAACAATCGGCTCTTCGCTATGTAAATTGTATTATAAAAAGACGAAACCGAAAATTCAATTAAACCTGTTGGGTCGAATCTTTACTACGAAGCTTGAACCTAGTTTGACTCTTACATTAGTTTGATATCCCTCATCGTACAAGACGGACTTGGATAATAACAGTTTCTCTTCTAGTTCGATTCGCGCCGGTGTACGGAGATTTGTACATCGGGCTCATAAAACGCGTATCTTTTCGTCTTGCGTTCTGTGGACTGTGTATGCTTACTCTTGATAGATTAAAATAAGTGCACTCTCTTATAAAACGGATAAACACGTAATTTCTAAACCTATAAGGCTAAAGCTAACTCGAAGGAAGTAAAGGAAAATATATACATAAAACAAATACAGTGTTGTTTAAATGGAAACATGACGCGCGTCTCATTATTATAAAGCCCATTCCGATTCCTTTTTGCAGGTTGCTCGATAATTATACACTAGCTAATCAATGATCCTCGCTTTACTAAACTGTAAGCTTTCGTTAAATCAATTTTTTTTATGTGTTAGACGGGGAGAATTTGCGTGAACGTTGTTCCCATGTATCGCGATTTGAATCATGTATCGAGAATAACCAGAATCTTCCCGTTTCTATCATATTGTACAATAATCTGTAATGTCGTAAAGAAAAAAAAATAATGCATACAATGTTTATGCAAATTATTACAATTATGAATTTAGTACGTATATACGTATGGCATAACTGTAAGAATCATGATGATAAGTATAAATAAGTGTACCTTATTGTGATTGTAATCGTGATTACGATTAGGGTTGAACTAGATTCAAGCGATCTTTTTTTCTTTTTAATTGTAAGCAGTCTGACACATGCAATAAAATATAAAGAAAGAACTGCACTTGAATAGAACGATTATTGATTATTATATCTCGGTATAAGAAGAAACTATTTTGCACGATGTACGGCCAGGGATATAAAATCCTAGTATTTTACTAACGTAATCATTTTGTATATAGAACTTCATTCTCTAAACCTTTATATAAAAGAATTGTTTCCAAATAAACCATAGTCTTAAAATTCGCCTGCGTTCTTCCAGTTACTACACACTTCTTTTAAGGATGTATTGGCTATACAGTCAATCCCAAAATTTTATGTACCTTAGAAAAACGCATTTCCTATAATTAAAAAGAAATCAGACGTCGAAAGAATAATGCTAATAATAAATAGCTACGTGCTAAAAAGTATAGAAGGAAATATCCAATTAAGTATTGTCGCTGATGAAAAATGTTTTTTTTCAAAATTGCGAAAAATGCTTCAAATAAAAGTTGTTTTCCTTCTAACTTCGATATTTAATGAGTTACGTATGATTATTTGGCATTTTATTGATGTTGACAAAATCCGACCATCCCAGCGTCGAAACGGCGAAATTCTGGAAAAAAATTTCGTTTTTTTTCAATTACTTCTAAACTGTTGGTCCTACGGAAAAATTGTATACAATCTTGTAGAGGACGATGAGATCTACAATTTC